AAGCGCCGTTTTGCTCCAGAAGACTTTCAGTCGTCCGAATGGACACTACGTAAATGAACAGCCGAGTAGGTGAAATAACAGGCTAAGTGATCTTCCGGAGACACAAGACGACATATCACGTCATTCATCTTGTTCCATCATCCTGACTAGCGCAGAAAAACACACCAATAATATTTGATCAATTGTTTATTACTTAACTATATAATTTAAACAATAGATAGAAATAACATTGAAGGAAGCTCAGCAGGTGTAATTAACCCCTCCTTACTTCAACTATCTAATAATTCTAATAAAGTTCTTGTTGTGGGCTGTAAAGATGACATACCAGCCAATCTTGAGATATGAAAAAACTTGGAGATTCCGAGAGGTTTTAGCGCCTCGCAGGCGTACCATTTAAAAAAAACTGCCGCTTAATTTTTCACTTTTAAAAGTGCTGATTCAGATTACTGAACTGTTTATAATGTGAATCTGATATAAAATAAACTTCACGTAGTTTGGCTAGTTTTATTTTGTAATTTTCTTGAACTTTTATACTGAGAAAATTTTGAATATTTTTTAGACAATTGAGATTTAATAAGAAAAATTTCACTGAAAATTACGAGGGGTGGGGAAATGGAATTTGGATAGTTTAAGAATCATTAATTCATTAAATTTAATTTATTTCTGTTAAAAATTCCTCTTGGTAGTTTTCTTAGTAAAGGTTAAAAACTGGGAGATTCAGCGACCTACCGAAAAAGATCGGGAGATGTACTGGAAAACAGATAAAAGAGTTGGAAGCTACGAGATGAATTTCACGCTGGAAATCTCTAGAGAAAAACGTTATTGTTTACCGATGCTGATAGCGAGCATTTGTAAATTTTTTTTTACATTTTACATTACAATTGAAGTAAAATCTAAGTAGGTCCACCTTTATGAACAAAATATTACACATTTTGTTAGTTACACCAACAGGCAAAAAATCTTTCCAAAAGAATGGAGAGTTAGTTTAAATCATACAATTTCCCCAAATATTTTCAGTGTTTTAAAACATAAATTCTTAAATAATTTCTTCCTTCTTAAACAATTTTTTATCGTAGCTACAAGAGGATGTTTACACACTTTTAGAACGATTTCGATAAATAATTTTAAAAAGCATAAATGGCTTGAAGTAAAAATTTCTGGCAGCAGCTTATTATTTGAAACGAAGAAATTTCGTCTACTTTAATTAAATTTATTCTTCTTTCAAAATATGACGCTGTGGATTTAAGGATATGTTTTACCGCTTTTCGAAGAAAAATATTCCTATTCTATAGTTCAAAAACGTTGTGAAATGCATGGTATTAAAATTTCGAAGTGCAAAGGAAGCAACATTATTAATGGGAAAGGGACATGGAATTACTACTAAATCATTGCTTCTACACAGAAAGAAGACTCAAAAAGAATACCCAAAAAAGGCACGTACTGTTTCTAATGTTTCTGAAGATAAACCGTTAGCAACAAGACAAAAATCCAGCGACGCAGAAATCAATCGCAAAGTCCTGAAATACATCTGCAGCAACAATAAGTAAAATAACAAACCAAGACTTACAACTTAAAAAAGCTAAAACAACGCAATATTCACCAGCTTTTGTAAAGGAATGTTGCTCAATGCAGAACAATTTATAGAACCTTACATGACCCTAAACGATTGCAACAAAAAAAAGGTCTATAAAAACGAAAGGGGAAAAAAATGTAAATTCTGCTTCCATCAATGGCAAAGAAAGTTTCAGTAAGGGGATAATTGCCGCAGGATTCTCTTTTCTCTTACAATGAGAAATTAAAAATCAGAAGAGTGGGAAAAAATGTTAAAATCAACTCAACTCACTCTTAAAAAAAGGTTTATGTCCGATATTTATCCAACAATTTCCCTTTCTTTATCCCAATGACTTCTAAAGAGTGAAATTTCATCAACACAAAGTAACAAGTCATATTTCAAAAAGTACCCCTGCATTCCTTGAAAAATATTATGACTGATACAGATATTCCATATATGACTTTTCAACTTATTCCTGAGAAGTTCGCTGACTTTTCACCTATGGACTATTGTGCTCTTTCTAAGCGTAAACCCACCATGATTGATGTGGACGAAATGTTAATTTTCTGTTAAAAAGCAATGCCGTAAAACCCATTATAGCAGAATTAGAGAATTATTTCTGTAATAAATTATTTTTGTAATAAAAATTTCTGGCAAAAGCTTATTACTTGAAGTGCGAAATATCGTTAGCTACTCTTAAAATTCTACTTGTCACAAATAAAGAAGCTGTAGATTGAAGGATATGTTTTGGCGCTTTCCGAACAAAAAATGTCCATAATTCAAAAACATTGTGAAATGCATGGTATTAAAATTTCTAAGGGCATCATAAGAAATATTTTTAATTGGAAAGGGAAAAACCGTCAAGCATTACTTCTGGATGGAAAGAAGAATCCAAATAAAACCCTACATGAAAACTATTCAGGAGGAGATAAATGGAAATACATTGGGACCCTTGAAGACGCATGGATTCACCTAAATGACGGTAACAAATTAAATAAGTAAATAATTTTTTAAAAAATCAATTTTTTTAAATCGAAAACGAAGAGGAAAGAAATAACTAACCTAGTTCCGTTAATGCAATGATAGTTTAAGTAAAGCGTTTATAATTGGATTCTCTTACAGTGGTAAATTAAAAATAAGAAGCATGAAAAAAATTAAAAATTAATTCAACGTATTATCAATAGAATGTTTTACGTCCGATTTTTCAGAAGAAATTCCACTTCTTTATCCCAATGACTTTCAAAGAAAGAAACTTCATCAAGATAAAGCAACAAGTCATACTTCGAAAAGTACCCCTGCATTCCTGGAAAAAAAAAATAAAACTGAGACAGGTATTGCACATATAACTTCTTCAACATATTCTTGCGAAGTTCCCTGACGTTTCATCTATGAACTATAGTGCCTCTGGTCTCTTGAGAAGAGCTCTTTCTAAGCACAAACCCACCACGATTGATGGCCTGTGGAAAGTAGTGGAAGAGGAATAGAAATCAGTACACCTGAAAATTTTACGAAAAGCCCTTTTATCATGGAAATCACGATGCAGACTGGCAATCCAGACTATCAAATCGAACATTTAAAAAAATGCTCTTTGCAATTTAAACACTAAATAAACGGCGTCGAAATCGGTTCTAAAAATGTGTAAACACCCTCTGTACTTCTGAATAAGATCAATCGCGGGTTTTTAGGCTAATTAGCTAACTTAAAACAGATCAGTATTTACCCTCGTCTTATCATCCATATGATCACCTTACATCACAACAATAAGCATATGGAAAGACTGAATTGGAATAACTTTTAAGAAAGAGACTTGACTTGGAAGTAAGGACAGCGGTTTCTGTAAGAACGAAAATTATATCCTTCGCAAAGTGTCGTAATTTCCATCATAAAAAGATGACTTGAAAAACAGAGTTTTACATCCTCTAAAAGTGAGGTCACATATCTAAATATACGCAGAATGGATGTATAAGTTTAATCAGGTTTACTAAAGTGGACAAACAAGAACGATTCTATGTATACAGAGTTATCAGTTTGGCACTCCGATACAAACTGGGCTATTATCTGTGGCTCCTTATCAGTTGCCAAATAATATTTGGGAAGCTGTCATCGATTAGAGAGGTGTGGATTTTGTTTCCAAGATTATAAGAAACAGACTTTGATCTCTTCCAGCAATATCCCGCTTATGATTAAATAACGCAAGATAGTAAACTTCAGATTAAATTATGAATAAAAAAAATTTCCTGAAAATTATCAGATAGTGAATTCTCATTTCTGAACTCATATTTGTGGTCATATTTTGCACGATATTTCCAACTGTTTGAACCATTTTTAACATTATGGACCTATGAGATTTTACAATAGGAGTATTTTTAAGCAAACTTCTTTTCTTCCACGCATTTGAATCATCCCCCCCCCAGCATAGGAGAACATACATATGTTTATTGAAAACATATAACTGACATCCTAAGCAGATTTGTTATAAACATGTTTTTCATTTTATTACGTTTCATCCTGCTCCTTTTAACAGATTAATGTAAATCTGAACAATAGAAAGGGAACACTAAAACAATATTGAATATACAATGTTAAACTTCTGTATTTATTTAATCAATATAATTTTAGTCATTCTTTAATTCAGATGATTATGAACCACAACTCCTAGAAGTTTTTACTCAAGTTTACTGTAAATAACTATTAACTTATGTGCAATAAAATCAAGCACATGCATTAGGAATTGTATTCCTATTATACACAAGAAATAAAAGCTATAATCTTCGAATCTATCACCACTTTATTATCATATGTTTTATGTTAATTTATTAAACGTTATATATTTATGTAATGAAAAGCATGGAAGTTTGGAATCCAGTCGACACAAACTGCAAAATTAGAATATTCAATATGGCAATTATATAATGATTTTTCAACCAATATATCTACTGTACTTATCAAGATTAATAGAACTTGCCATGAAAGTAAGTTAGTAGCAAAAATAAGAAAAGTTATATGAATACCATTTAACATTTTTATTACAATTTTAAGTTTCTTACAAATAAAAATCAGGTGTCAAGCTGTGGTTATTGGAAGAAAAGGGTTCTCAAGAAGAATATTATTAGCTTAGCAGTCTCCTCTTTACCTAAAACAAAGCTATAAAAGGACAATTTTTCTTTCTGGTTGTAATTTTATGTAGCAGATTAGTATTAAAGATTCTTTTCGGAGATTTGATAAACAAATAAGGAAAAGAAGGTAAGAACTACTCGAAAAGAAAGATTTAAGTAACCAATTCAATAAATCAACGATTTCGTTTATTACAAAACACTTTTTTTTAACTGATACATTTAGGAAAATAGTTTCAGCGTTAATTACCAAACGAGCTGTCATTTAAAATTCCATTCTGTAGCTCAGATTCAAATGATTAAGAAACTAGGAGAAGATAGGTGAAAATACTTACTTGGTCAGGAGTGGAGGAATTATCGGAACTGTGCCCCGTCGTGTCAGGGTTGCCCCTGCCGCCCCCGGCACCACTGTTGCCGCCACCGGCACCCCCTCCTCCATTGCTGCTGTTGTTATTATTATCTCCCAGATCACCGGGTTTGCTGTCTCTTTCATCTATAACCAAATCTATGGGCATCTTGCCTTTTAAACAGCTAATGTATCGCTGGCAGAAATTATCGCAGAGCTCATGGACCTGTAAAATAAAAACAGTCAATTTAAACAAGTTTCAGAAAAGAAAAGAATGAAACCAGATTAAAATGCAAGGTTAGCGAAAAACATTGCAACTACAAATACAGGCATCTAACTTTTCATTTACTCAGGGCTTAAAATCTGGCAGAGGCCCATTAGGTCCAGGCTTCGGTATTTCTCATATTTTGAGTAAAATCGAAAACTCCATCCGAAGAACACCAAGCCTCCATAATGGCGACCTCAGGTGCTTTATTGTATTATTAAATTTCAATATTAGTAGAAAATTCAGTACCTTCTGGCTATCCGCACCTCTGGTTTCAATATTCGATAAATACCGTAGTTATGATGTTATTTCACACGCGGTAATAGTCAACTTATTCATGAGGATTAGACAAATGAGTCTGAATACACATGGATTTATACACTTCATATCTAACCGAAAAGCTATTGCTGAACAGTATTCATCGAGCGTAATAATGTTGTTACGGATTTTGTATTTATTTAGCTATTTTTAGTAGAATTTGTAATTAAAATTGTTTCATATTTCCGTGCAGTGTAGCACCAGACTTATTTGAAGAGAAAGCTACGCCGGAAAAATTAAAATACAGGAGCACGCGCATTAAGATTTTAATAAATATATATTTCGTAATTATACTCTTTTGCTATTCAGAAAAATCGAGAAAATACCAGAATGTTCTCATGCAGAATCAAAAAGATTATAAAAGCCGAAGAAAAAAATCTCAATTCAGTTGTTTACTTAGTTATCGATTGTAGAGAATTCGCGGTGAGATCGGATTAGCTTTCTCAGTGTTTTGAATTGAGTTCTATCAGTTTTAGTAGTTTTAGTAGTTTAAAATATAACTACTGTGAGATATTGCGATATTGTACGAATATCTCTGAGGAAATTTCAGCATTTTATTTTATTTGTTGTGATGAGAATAAATTTTATTCACTTTTCTTCGGATTTGTGCATTCAGTTTATTTCGAACCCGTATGCACGCAACAATGCAAATATTCGTTATATTGACTTTTGCTTTATATTTACAAAATCCATTGTTTCTCTTAAAATACTGCTCTTTCTTGAACAGATTGAACTTATGAGTTCCAAAGACTAGCAAATAAATATTTTTCGCCTATTCCGAATGTCGTCAATGAGTATGAGATTTTCCGCAAGTGCGCATTCATAAGGTACCGGACCCACCAGGGGCCGAGCGGTAAAGTCGCTGAACACTGGTAGTTCGTTCCGAGGTTCGAATCCCGCGAACGGGCTGGCTGCATAAGCGTTTTCGGGGTTTTCCCCATGTGTAACGTGTATACGAGCCAGTTACCCTTAGAAAGTCCTCCACGAAGGCATCCCTCCCCTTAGGCAGATAGCCCTAGCGTGCTTTGCCGTAATTGAATGAATACACCATAAAGTACCGAAAATTCTGTTACCAATGCAACATTTATTTGTTAAGTTAGTTAGCATTTAAAAGTTAATTAGCTGATGTATGCCTCTCATTTTCCCTGAGAAGAAGAAAATAAGAAACAAAATTCGATCAGCAGAGAATCCCATCGAAATGTTAGGTATTTTATGTTGAAAAAGGTTAAACTAAAACAAAGATGTGATTCTATTTGACCGCTAAGAATACTGTAAGTAAATATTTATTTACTTTATCTTCCATTACCATGCCTTATTGCCATTAATTTAATTACCTTTGATTTATTTTGCTATTTAGTTTGATTTATGATACTGGGTATCAGTGGTATCAAACACAAACTGCCGGCGGGTCGAATGCACGATCTGAAAACTGAAGGCCAGCATTTTTTTTAAAGAAAATAAAAGTATTTTTATCAACAAAATAAATAAATAAATAAAAATCTGAAAGGTTTCAATTTTAAATTACGTCCAAAGAGGCGTTTTTGTTCCTTTATTTATTAAATAACATGTCCTTTGCACTTAAACCATAAAATTCAGTTCAAGAGCATTATCGCAAAATAATTTTAAAAAGAAGATGTCTTTAGAATTTCCCATACACAATCTCCGCTGAGCCCTGGATAAAAATGGTTTTTTGTATTTTCTGTACAGTGTACTGCCATTGCTCGCTTTGAAATTGTTTAGTTTGTTAATGAAAAATTCGTCATAAATGCTTTACAGAATATGAAACAGGTAATAAAACAAATTCCAAACTTTCCAAATTTGGGCTTCTCAGATGCCCATATTCGGGTGGAAGAGGTACGTTATTCAAAATTTGGTGACTCTAGGTACTGTTGTTTTAATCACAATGCGAGAAAGATACATACATTTATGCAGATTTTTCATCATTTAATTTCTTTAAATATAATACAGATCGATAATTTTTTGTGGCAACAATTTGAAAAGTGAATAGTGAACCAACGCAAAATGCCAAAACGAAAATAATACTTCAGGGGAAATTGCCCCGTTGGACTAAAAATATTTTAACTAAATTTTAAATTCTGCTTACTAAATACTTATTAAAACATACATAAACAGTAATAATTCAAATTTATATTTATTTTCTATCTGAAATCTGAACGTAGGTATCTACAAGACCTTTTTATCATTTACACTTTGTGATTCAAATATACTGACATCTAAATATTACATTTTCTGACCGATACATATTTCAAATAATTCTAACATCCTTAATTAATCATTAAATAATTAGCTTAATTTAAAATAAACAAATGAAGGAAACTTTCTAAGTTTTCAGAATAAACTTCCCAAGCAGGACTAAACTTGAAATTAATAATGACAACTTAATTTATTTCTCTAATTTATTAAAGTTTTCTTCGACACATAAATTAAAATACATATATTTGTATCTAAATAATTATAAATTGTATATAGAAATATAAAATGTTTTCATAATGGCCTTCCATTGAAGAGTACTTACTTTTTTTGGCAAATACATAACTGAAATGCATTCGCGGGCCGCATAAAATTGCTTCGGGAGACACATGCGGCCTATCATGTGTCATCCGAAGAAGTGGAAAGTATACTTCCTTTTCTCATGAATTATCAAATAAGTTCAAGAACATATTTGACAACACAGTGAAACGGAAACATTTACCAGCTTATGTGCTGCTTCACTAGAATGTTGCTTGTATAAAACAATTTTGATACACTCTGCTGTGTTTTAAGAAACATAAATTACAATAACTATTCTTAGACATGCATTTATCTTAGCTGATAAAATTAAATTTGAATATAATAAATAAAGAAATTTTTCATCCAAAATTAAAGTTTTTTAAAATTTATGTGTAAGGTCTAATATTTTAAATTATACACAATATTAATTGCCTGTGCATCTATTTCTTCATAAAATAAAAATATAATCGTTGAAGTCTACACGAATAATAAAATATTACAATTTGTTTTAAATTCTCATATGCACTGTACTTAAATTTAATTTTTCGATTTTGTGGAAAGTAAAATTTATTGCATATCAATTTTAATGTTTTACATTATATAATATACGAATAAATAATTCGAAATTATGTAAGAAAATTTTATTAATTTTTTTGCAGAACCTAATTTTTTAATTTTATTAATTGCAGAACCTAATGATGTAAATTTCAATTACCAAGCTTAAATTTTTGGCATGAAATTATACTATTTATACATGAAATTATATTTTTAGTCCAAAGGGGCTAGTCCCTGAAGGACTATTGTTTTCGTTTTGCGATATTGCCTTGAATCACTATAAATGTCCGTTTTACTTTTCATATTGTTGCCAACAATTGTTAGAGTCCTGCATTATATTTGAAGAAATTAAATAATGAAAAATCTGCATAAATGTATGTCTATTTCTCGCATTGTGATAAAACAACGGTACATAGAGCCATCGAATTTTGAAAGACGTAATAATCCTAAGAATATGGGCATATGGAAGACGAAATTTGGAATTTGTTTTATTATCGATTTCCTATATTGTAAAACTTTAACGAATTTTTGATTAACAAACTCAAGGATTTCAAAGCGAGCAATGGCAGCACTCTACGGGGGGGGGGGAACTTTTTTTATCTCCAGCGCGCTGAACTGCGTATCGGAAATTCTAAAGATAAGCTCATTTTAAAATTATTTTGCGAGATTGCTTTTGAACTGAATTTTATGGTTTAAGTGCGAAGAACATGATATTTAATAAATAAAGGTGGCACACGAAACGTTAAAAAAACACCCCTTCGGACATAATTTAAAATCTGAAACCTTTCAGATTATTATTTTTTTACAATTTATTTACTTATTTTACTGTTGAAAACACTGACAGGAACTTCTTAAAATTCATGGTGTCCGTGAATATAGTTCTGAAGTACTTTGTCAAAGTAATATATCACACTTTTATACGTGCATTACAATATTAAGCTACTAAAAAATTCTAAAGACGAGAATAAACAAATACTTTTATGCATGCGATAAAATATTTAGAGCAATTCCAGATAAACAAGTTAATTACCCATTTTAAAATTTTTAAACATTGAGAGAGTATTATAGTCTGAGAAACCTCTTTTTTTTTCCCCTTGTCTTAAATTTTAAGCTTTTCAATAAATAAGTTACAATCTCCTTTTTTTTTTTTTTTTTTTAATTTATTTAGCTTTCTTTAGAATTTCACAATGCTTTGTGATTTTAATTTTATTACCCCCACCCTAAAAACAGTTATTACTGCATTGTTAATTTGAAATTTATAACATACTCTAAAATTCTTTACTGCTGTACCTTACATCTCTTTATCTCAAAATCTGTTTCTTCGCAGGAAATTTTCGAAGTTGCCAAATTTCTTTGCAACTATTACATTTCATTATCATTCGGAATTTCAGAAAATTTGTTTTTGAAATATGAATCGATGTTATCGTTTGAAAATAAAAATTCACAGCATTTAAATACAACCGAATTTCATTTATCCCAATTAAAAGACAAAGTCCAGTTCAACCAGATAATTAGACTCATTTTATTCAGAATGGTAAAATGCATAGGAAGATTACAAGTGTGTAATGCAAATGATA